CCCCCCCCCCCCCCCGCCCCTTCCCTCCCCGCCTGCCCGCCCCGCCGGCCTCTGCTCGCCCTCGCGCGCTCGGAAGGGAGTCGCGAGACGTCGGAGCGGCGGCCACGTAGCGCTGCGGCGGCGGCGGCGGCGGCGGCCGGGACTGAAGAGCGGCCCTCACCAGAGAGCCTGTTGGAGAGTGAAGGGAAAGGAAGCAAAGAGAAGGGAGGGGAGGGGGGAGGGGCCGGCCCGGGGCGGGCGGGCGGTGGTTACTCGAGCGAGCGCCGCGGCGACAGGCCCCCCGCCGCAGGGATGGACCGCGGAGGCGGCGGCGGAGGCGGCGCAGGCGGCCGGCCCGGGTGAGTACGGACGGGCCCCTTCCCGCCCCCACCTCGCCGCCGCCGCTGCCCGCGGCTCGGCCCTTCCCGACAGCACCCCTGCCTCCCCAGTCGCCCCTCCTCCCCCCTCCCCCCCCCGGGATCGGGCCTGGCTCCGGGGGCCGGGTTAACCCTTTCCTGAGGCGGCGGCTGCGCGCACTAGGCCGGAGCGGTCTCCGCCCCGCGGGGAGGCCCCGGGCGCTTCCATGACCGGGGTGTGGGGGGTGGCGTGGGGGGGGGGCGGCGGTTCTCTCCTTCCTACCTCCCCCCCGGAAGCCGGGCTTGGCTCCTATTTGTATGACCAGCTTGCTGCCCCCGAGGCCCGAGGGGGGAGGTGGAGGTTGCATCGGTTGCGGGTGGGCGGGGGAAGGGTTGCACCGGGTCGGCTTGCTAGCATTCTCCTTGCCCTGCAGCTAGTGGTTTGCACCTATCTTTGCCTCCCCCGCCTTGAGGTTGCGCCCAAACTTCTAACCTCCAAGGAGTATCTGCCTGTGCCACTGGGATAGAAAATGCATCCACCGAACACCCCTTCCCCCGACACCAAACTCACCCCAGTGGGTAATACACCCTCTTCTCCTCCAACCTGGCTCTAGGTTGCTAGAATGGAGACTTTGTAGGTAGTGTCACTCTCGGCTGCTTCCCCAACACACCATGTGCACTGTCAAAGGATATCTGGAGTGGATCAGGTGTCTCTGGATTCCTCTGCTTAGAGCAATCTACATACAACCTTCAAATTTCTCTGAATGAGTTATCTAGCAGTGCATGTATTCTTCATGGCAAAGTGCCGAATCTTTTGATCATACAACCACCTTGAATTCCTGGTTCCTGAAAAGCTTTAGTCAAAGAAGAGCCAGTTCGGGGGAGTGGTGGGGTTGTGTAGGTGTGGGATACATGTGCTTTCGGAGTATGCCTTGACGTTTGGAAGATGCCACCCCTCTTCATCCAGTTTCTTAGGGTGCTTCTTGCGAGTGGATTTGTATTTTCCTTAGACCTTCCCCAGAGTCAAGGATCATTGTCATAAAATCTGCCTCATGCTGTCTGTGATGGATTTCTTGAATGCCTCGGCCATACCCTAGTAATGAGAAGATGAGAAAAGATTATTATAGCAATACATAGTATTTCCGTTTGATCTGGAGGCATGTGATGTGTGTTTTTTGGGGAAAATTTCCATTTACGTTTAACATTTGTAGACCAGAGGTAGTGAAGGAATGGGTGATGTTTTGAGGGGGAATATATGTGTATATTTGGGGAAGATGATCAAACCTTTATTGTTCTGGTAATGGCAACTGGCACATGCTTTGTTGACAGTGGTAGATGCACTATGAATGAGGAGGAGCTGTTGCTAAGCTGTGTATAATGATTGGGAGGGATGTTCTAAAGAAAGATCGATTTGTGAATGATGAGTTACAGCACGTCAGCTTTGGCAGTTGAGATGTTCTCATCTTAACTGTGAACTTGTACTTAAGATAGTCTTGTAAGGCTTGGTATAAAATGTTTAAGTATAACTGAATCCCAGTGGTCATGGAAGTATCTCTTTCTAGGAATCATATCAATTGCATAATTTTTTAAGAAGCATCTGTTTTACTTTGTAGCCTTCTGGATAATAAATAAGATGAATTAGATACTTTAAAAAGGTTACATGTTGATTAGCTATTAATTTCACTATGAAAATACAGAAAAAAGATATGTAACAAATCCCTCCAAGAAAAGTTGAAGTTGGAAGTCAAAACAACTTGTGTAGGTATCAGTAGATTGATAAATATGTGAAATCTGCTTCATTTTGAGTATGGTAAGAGCGTGTGACCTATTTTATAATGCCTAACAGGTGTCTGTATCTTGTTGACTTGAAGTTGGTTGCTCCTAATCTGTCAAAAAGAGACTGTCTTTCTTATAGCGGTGTGTTTGGTCTGCTAAGAGTTTTCTACAACTTTATTAAATATAGTTTTAGATTACTTGGGGGCTTTTTGTTTCTGGATGTAACCATTTGAATTATCTCTTGATTATCCATAAATATGAGAATTAATTGCCTATAAATGGTACCAGGTATCAACAATTTTGGCAGATGTGTAAATGAAGAAGGGGAAAATGCTTTTTCAAGATATATTTGCACTAATAGTAAGGGAATTTAGATTTCTTTTGTTTAGAGTCCACCAACACCTAGGAATTGAACATTACTAGTTCAACCAGGAGGTAAAGAGTAAAATCAGATGCCTTTTGGTGAAATGTCATGAACATCAAGAAGAATTTATTAAATTCTCAAATACATTGAATGTTATTATACAAATCATATTAAAAACAGTTCAGATCCCTACTAGTTTACAATTCTAATAATATTGTTCAGTTGAAAGAAGTTCTTAAACTTTGAAGGTCTTAGTATTTTAATCTTAATATCTTTTGGGTTTCTTAAATGTAAGGTTTTGATCATGATTTTAATCAGCTCTTAAAGGCAGGAGATAACGTTTGAATCTTGATTTAACAATCACTTTCACATACCTAAAAATGCTATTTATCCCAATAAATCACTTAATAATTAGCTAATTAATGTAAGATAATAAGGTCAAGTGACATGCTGATGATGCAAATGTCACAGTTTAAAAAACAATTATTTTATAAACATGTTTAAGTGGCTTGGATATCATCAGCTGTATTATGTTCTTAGTTTATGTCACACCTTCAGTTTTACTGATGAAGATAGTTTGAAGCAGTCAAACAATTTCAAAATTTCCAGTATGGTGTTTTTTTGGTTGTTGGCATAGTATAATGACAGCCTGTTGAGAGCATTAAAATCTCAGGGGAGAATGTGCTTCCTTGGTTTAATATTGCAGAACCTCTTCTAGCCATCCACTTACCTAGTTAAACACCCACACACCAGAGAGCAGCTGATCATATAACATGTATGACTGTGAGAACAGTAGTTTCTTTGCCAGGTTTAGAGCTTGGAAACTGGAAAACAATTGCATAGCAGTGAAACTCTTGAGATAGTAGTGGTGCCAGCAGCTCACTCTCATTAATACAAACAGCTTGCCTTAGTTTCTTTGACACTCTCTTCTTCAGACACCCTTCCCTTAGGAGGTTTCAGATCAGCAGCTCCTACTCAGAGAAACAACACCTACTTTCTGCAAATTGTGGTCTCAGATCTGATTTAGTGAAGCACAAGATTGTTTCCATTTTGCTCTCTGAGTTTTGGAAGTAGTATGGTAAGAAAATACTTTTCAACTCTATGGAAAAAAAGTAATGTTTTTGTAACTTTTTGAAGCATGGTGTAGTAAGCTGCAAGAAATTGATTATCAATTTTGAAGGTTGTTTTTTTTATAATTTAGTGCAAGAAATCTGGATAGACCCTTAGTTTCATTTCCTCTGTTCTAAAAAGTCAGTTGAGTTACTGCCAAAAAGAATACTACATTTTCTCATATTTGAGAATGATTCTAAGGAAGGGGGGACTGCTTTGCATTTCCTCACAGAGATTGAATATCTTGTGTTAACCACTTAAGATGAATTTTTTGTCAGCTGTCAGATCATACTAGATATAATTCAGCATTTGAGTTTTGTTCTGGTAGAGAGGTTAGTGAAAAATCTTTCGTGGACAGGAGGATGAGACTTTTTAGCTGAAGGAAGCAAGTGATCTAGTGGGATGGAACTCCAATTTATTTTGGCTCACTAACAGGCAGTAAATTTACAGGTTAAAAGCCTATGATCCACATACCTCCTTTATGCAGATTTGGGACACAAAAAGTTGCAAATATTTGACTTGGAGCATAACTGAATCTTGCAGGTGCTTTTTGGAACTTTGATTTGTTGCTCCATGGCTGCCTGATCTTGGTGGAGACAATAAAACTCTGCTCCAAATTCTACAGTGTTACCCACAGGCAGTGCTTGTTTAAGCCTATTCAGAGCTTATTGGTGAAAGGGGTGTTTTAGGACATTAACATGTCTCAATGAGTTCTGTGTCCAGAGCTGAATCACGTGGAAAGCCTTGTGTAAATTTTCGTGGTTAATGCAGGCAGTAGAGTGCTTAGTGGAATCAGTAGAGATATCAGACACTTACTTTACAGTTAATCTGATTTTTGATATAGGATTGCTTATATCAGTCTTTTCGTTTTTAAAAATACTTATGACATTATGCTGTTATTGAACTGCTATTGCTGACAGAGATTTCTTAGCATAAACTCCTGTTTCCAAAATATAGAATGGAATACCTTAGCCTTTTTACTTTCACATGGAGAAGATGGGGAAAAGCATCTGTCATATTCTAACAACTCTCCCTCAAGTTAGCTCTGTGGGTAATATATTTGTTTTCCTAACTTTTATTTCTAACCAGGAATGCAATTTTATGGTAAAATTTGGTATCAAATTTATTTTTTCTCTTGTGGTTCAAGAGCCACTATGCAGTAGATTGAAAATTGAATCACACGAAGCACACGAATTGAAGCACACGAAGTTTTATTTCATGAAATAGCTTTTAAAGCAGGATTTCTGTAGGATTGAATTATTTTATCATTG